AAATACTAGAATTGTCCTATAAATTAGTTAATAAGAAAATAATAATTTTAGTTGAGTTCGATAATTATTTAAACCGAATATCGATAGTTCAAAATTGTTAGCTGCGTGTTTGTTTCACTACGATACCTGTCTATTAAGTATGGTATTTGCCTTCATAGAAATTGAATTCGATACTTCATATACGTCATTTATCAAACTAATCTATTTTATTTAGACAAACTATAGCTTGTACGCAATAGTGCCAGTGATGTAATACGTGGCAATAAAAGTATTATGTAACAATGAATAGATTTAGATCCTAAGAGTGCAAAAGTACATACCCTTCAGATTTTATACCGCCGTGGGTTTATAGTTCCAAATGAAGACTTAAATAATATATATTTTGCGTTAAAATTCATGAATTACACAATTTCGACGGTAAATGTTATAATTACGCGAGTTTGGTTTCCCCTATGTGACAATTTTCAAAAAAAACTATTTTTTTAATCTATTATTTTGTAAGTAATGGCTGCCATCTTTTGTGTAAACCAGTGATTCTCAAACTCGCTCATCTAGACCCCCAGGGGTCCGTTACCCCGGCAGTGGTCCACGATTTATAGAAAATTAGTCCACAAAAATTTTATTTGGTATCGAACTTAAGGGTCTAAAAGATACAACTACATGTAATAAATTTAATCAATCGCTTTATCAATAAAAAGGGGTCCATCGAAACTTTGAATGGACCTAAAAGGAAAAGGTTGGGAACCTCTGGTTTACAGTATTTATGTCCTGATTTGGAACACGGTTTAGAGGTAAGGAGCTTGTGCTTGCGTGTTGAAGGTGACAAGGTGCTTAGGTGTATCGCGGGTGCTCCACGCCGGTATCGGACGGCTCACAAATTATATATTTAAGCCATATATTTTACACTAATGTACTGAAAATTCATAGGTACAGTCAGATTGAATTTAAGATTAGAATTGTAACATGTTGATACAATTTTCTGAAATTTACTAATAGTGTGTTAAGCCCGAAGTGTCATATATTTATTGTATAATTTCTAATCAGATTTTGATGTGCTGACTGTACCAAAAATAAGTGAATTGATTTCATAATGTAATGCTAACGGGGATTCTTTAATACATTGTATTTGTATTTTCTGTATTTGTGATTAGCTATAGCCAATTACGTTATATTCAATGCGTTTTGTGTATACATATTTGTATACTACTTTCACATGTAGGTAATACCCAATATTTTTAGTTCTTTTGTGTAGATTTTTTATATATTTGAGCTTAATATTAAATTAGACTCTATTGACATTAACGTTAGAGTTCATTTTCGATTGTCATAGAATAACTTTGTCTCTTTAGCGTTTATTTCTTGCTATATTCGATTTGTATTTACGAGCAATAGTTTATTATTACAATAGTTGTGTAAAGGTTTATGAATTGTAATAGTTTGGCCAAAAATAAAGCTTATTTATTCAAATGTTTGTCTTATTTATGCCCTATTTAGTTATGTTAGACGGAAATGACGTCACATGTTTATTTCACTTATGAACCCTTGATGCTTGTTTTCGATAAATTATTAAACTTTGTGGAGGTTTGTTTTTAGGTTTTTTATAAAACCAAGTTAACTTAGTATGTAACACTTGCATTCATTATTACAAAAGTTTTATGTAAGAAAATAGATGTAATTTGATTAAACTAAAACAAAGACTATTTAACTGCGCTCTGTGGTCAAAAGTAAATTGAGAAATGGAGCAAAAATAATAGATTCAAATGAGTTAAAATTCTTTATTGTACACCTCAGTACAGTATTTTTATTTATTTTTCATTTTTATATAGATTCTATATAAAATATTTATAACAATATACACGATTTTCTCAAAAGCTAAAGATATTTCTAATTTTTAAATCGAAATACCACGATATCCATTAAAAAAACATTTAACTGTCAACAAAAGATCCAATGTTCTGAATTTTCAAATCCAATTTTTTATTTTTTTATTCATTTAGTTACTTTAATGATAAAATGCATAATAAATTGCGGATGTAATCAGTATGTTAGAATCATTTACTTTAATTTTAAATCAATTCATCTAAGTGAACATCGTAGACTCTGCTCTCGACGATCTGCGTAGTGTATGTAGACTTCTTGAGGGCGATAGCCACGTGCTGGTCCGTCTTCTGCGAGGGACAGAACGCCGTAAGACGTGTGGGCACGTAGTTTGCACTCAGCATCTTCAATGGCATAGCTATTGCCATGCAGCCACGCTCTGAAATTACAAAAAATATAAGTTACAACGCTAAAGATAGGCATAGGATGGATTGCGTG